AGATAGAGGCAGAGACAGAGGTAGATGAAGATGCAGAGGAATATGTAAGAGTAAAGGCAGATGGAACAACATGAGTAAATCTAGAGACAGTAAAAGACAGAGTAACTCTAGCTTCACTTGCTTTCACTGTGGCCAGGAGGGTCACATAAAGAGAAACTGCCCAAGCTGAAAAGATAAAGGCCAAAGCAGTAAGTCAAAGGGAAATGAGAACATACCAGCCACAACAACTGATGAAATACTTCTTGCAATTGGTGAAGAGGAGGATTGCCTTCATGTGGCTAACCACAGCTGTACAGAATGGGTGATAGACATAGCTGCATCCTATCACGCCATTTCCCACAGAGAACTCTTTAGCTCGTACAAAGCTGGAGATTTTGGCATTGTTCGAATGAGAAATTCTAACTATTCCAAGATTGTGGGCATTGGAGACATTAGTATTTAGACTAATGTCAGACACAAGTTGGTTCTCAAAGATTTGAGGCATGTTCCAGATTTGCGTCTCAATCTTATCTCCGGAAGCGCCTTGGACTGACAGGGTTATACAAGTACATTTGGAAATGGCCGTTGGAAGCTGACAGGAGGAGCTTTGACAATCGCCAGAGAAGAGATGTTTTCAACACTGTACAAGACTTAAAAGAAGATCTGTCTAGGAAGTCTTAATGCAGCAGAATACAAGGAGTCAACAGACTTATGGCACAGAAGACTGCCTCACATGAGTGAGAACGAATTGCATCTGTTGGCAAAGCAATCCAAGATACCCTTATCCAAAGGTAGTGCCCTGAAGCCGTGTGATCATTGCCTTTATGGCAAGTAACATCAAGTATCATTCAGTTCAACGAGCAAGAGGAAAACAGAAGTGCTTAGTATGGTATACTCGGATGTTTATGGCCCAATTGAAGTGGAATCACTTGGCGGCCGCAAGTATTTTCTGACCTTCATTGATGATGCATCAAGAAAGTTGTGGGTGTATTTTCTGAAGACGAAGGATGAGGTATTCCAACACTTTCAGGAGTTCCATGCAATGGTGGAAAGAGAGACCAGGAAGAAGTTGAAGTGTCTTCGCACAGACAATAGTGACAAATACACTTCCAATGCTTTTGAAGCATATTGTGCTAGCAGGGGTATTTGGCACAAGACAACAGTTCCCGGCACCCCACAACATAATGGTGTGGCAGAGAGGATGAACCGCACTATTGTTGAAAGAGTCAGATGCATGCTCAGAATGACAAAGTTGCCAAAGTCATTCTAGGCTGAAGTCGCCTGTACAGCCTGTTATCTCATCAACAGGTCACCTTCATTCCCGTTAAATTTTGCGATACCTGAGGAAGTCTAGTCCAAAAGAAAGGTATCATATTCTCACTTGAGAGTCTTTGGGTGTAAGGCGTTCGCACACATCTCCAAGGAAAACAGACAGAAGCTTGATGACAAGTCCATTCCATGCATATTTGTGGGCTACTCAGATGCAACATTTGGGTACAAGTTATGGGGCCTAGTGAACAGGAAGATGTTCAGGAGTAGAGATGTTATGTTACAAGAAGACCAAACAATAGCAAATTTTGATAAGTCTGCAAAGTCTAGAGATGTCATCACTCCAGACTTGTTACCATCTCTCAAGCCATCACAAAATACTAGATGTGATGATGTGCAACAAGAAGTACCAGAGTTGTAGGATCTTATGCCAGAAATAGAGGATCAAGAGGAAAGAGATGAATACCTAGATGAAGAGGGTGTTGAGCAGGGGGAGCAACCCCCTCTACTAGAGGCAACTTGGCCTCAGTTGCGGAGATCTGGAAGAGCTGCTATGTCATCAGCCAAATATCCCCCTTCTCAGTATATTCTAATTACTGATGAGGGGGAGCTCGAGAGTTTTTCGGAAGCAAAGAGCCATACAGAGAAAGACTATTGGATGCAAGCCATGACGGAAGAGATGAGTTTTTTTGCAGAAGAACCACGCTTATGAGCTTGTTCCACTTCCAAGTGACAGGAGAGCCTTGAAGAACAAATGGATGTATAAGTTGAAGAAAAACGGCAAAGGTAAACTATTGCAGGATAAAGCTCGCTTGGTGGTCAAAGGTTTTGGACAGAAGAAGGGAATTGATTTTGATGAGATCTTTTCTCCAGTTGTGAAGATGACTTCCATTCGAGTAGCTTTGGGATTAGCAGCTCGCTTGAATCTGTAGATAGAACAGATGGATGTCAAAACTATCTTCCTCCATGGTGATTTGGAAGAAGAGATCTATATGGAGCAACCAGAAGGATTTAAGGTTAAAGGGAAATAGAACCTAGTCTGCAAATTGAAAAAGAGTCTCTATTGCCTGAAGCAGGCGCCGAGACAATGGTACAAGAAGTTTGATTCATTCATGGTGGATCACAAGTACACAAGAATGGTAGCAGACCAGTGTGTATATTTTTGAAGGTTTTCGGATGGAAATTTCATCATCCTACTGTTGTATGTCGATGATATGCTGATCATCGATATCATTGGACATGATACTAATATGATTAACAAGTTGAAAAAGAACTTGTTGCATTATTTTGACATGAAAAATTTAGGCCCAGCATAGCAGATTTTGGGCATGAAGATTGTTCATGACGGGAAAGCCAAGAAGATATGGCTATCACACGAGAAATATGTTGAACGGGTGATTGAAAGGTTTAACATGAAAGATGCTAAGCCAGTCAGCACACCACTGGCCAACCATTTCAAGGTGACAAAGCATTCGTGTCCCATGACCAACCCTGAAAGAAAAAAAATGGAGGCAATACCCTATTCCTCTATAGTAAGGAGTTTGATGTATGCAATGGTGTGTACCCGGCCAAATATAGCTCACGTAGTTGGCGTTGTGAGAAGATTCATCGCTAATCCAGGAAAGGAGCATTGGGAGGCAATCAAATGGATTCTTTGGTACTTGAAGGGAACTTCAAAGATGTGTCTATGTTTTGGGGGAGCTGAACCAATTTTGGAGGGTTTTACAGATGCCGATATGGCAGGTGATCTTGATGGTAGAAAGTCTACATCAAGATTTCTGTTCACCTTTGCAGGCGAAGCTATTTCATAGCAGTCCAAACTATAAAAGTGTGTTGCTTTATCTACAACAGAGGCAGAGTATATTGCTGCCGCAGATGCTAGAAAGGAAATGTTGTGATTAAAGCGGTTTCACCAAGAATTGGGTCTACAGCAAGAAGAGTACAAGGTACATTGTGATAGTCAGAGTGCAATTGATTAGAGCAAGAATTCCATGTACCATTCCCGTACAAAGCACATTGATGTTCGGTATCATTGGATACGAGAAGTGATGGAAAAGCAGTTGATGAAGCTGGTGAAGATTCACACAGATAAAAATCCAGTCGACATGCTTACAAAGGTGGTCTCGAGAGAAAAACTCGAAGTATGCAAGGACATTGCTGGGATGGACTTCCAGTAAGGATACTACTCTCCATAGGTGTGGAAGGGGAGAATTGTTAAGGATCCACACTAATGTGAACTTGGCTATGGTGGAAGTCAAGTATGGAGGCTGTGAATATAGATTTACTGAAGTTTTTCAAACCTAGCACTACAGGAAATGACAGTTTTGGCGACCAAAATATTGGTCGCCAAAAGTCCCATTTTTAGTAGCCGAATGTAATTAGCGACTAAATTTTTTTGTCACCAAGTTCGTCGCCTATACCCTGTCGGCGATAGTATTGGCGACTAAAATATTTTTGGTCGCCGAAAGTTAAACATTTGGCTACTAAACTTTGGTCAGTCGGGAAAGGTGATCTTTTGGTGACTAAATTATTGGTTGCCGAAATTGAACTTTTGGCTACTAAACTTTGGTTAGTCGCCAAAAGTTCTCACAGAAAACTAAATTAAACTATTAGAGACTAAAATTTTAGTCGTTAATAGAATACGTACATTTAGCGACCAAGCACTTTAGTTGCCAAAGGATGTCATGTTTTTAGTGACTAATATATTTAGTCGGCAATTTAACTTCCCTCATTCTGATTTGTTTTAGCTACTATGTGGTTCGGTCACAAAAAGCCATTTGATTATTTTTGTTACTAAATTATTGGTCGGCAAAACATTTGTTTACATTTTTGGCTACCAACATATTTAGTCACCAAATCCTATATTAATTTTTTTTTTTTAATTTCTGAATCACCTGTATCCATTATTAGTGCAACCTGTACCAAGTGTAAACAATATAATCCATCAATACTGAATATATTATCAACTATTCAACAACGTGTACACATTTCACTTCCAACCATCCAAAATATTTATATTCAACGTCCAATTCTAAATGTAATACAAATTCCATACGAATCAAGTATAATTCAACCCTAATAATTTAATTCCATACATAATAGAGGATTAACCAAATTTAATATTCAAAAGGAAATCTATACCACACCAAATTCATCAAAATTTCAAATTCAAATTCATCAAGTTTCGCATCAAATTCATCAAGCGTTCACCACTTCCTGAATATGTTGAGACTGGCTTTTACCAGGTGGAATAAAAATAAGATCTTCCCAGCCGGAGTTCTTCTCACTCATCTGGCATCAAACAAGGAAAGTAATAACATGTTGGCAATAACTTGTTCGTATGAGGCAAAAAGAATGACCAACTCCACAAATCCAGCATTCAGATCCTCTTACCTCCATTTTTTTAAGAACATCTTCCAAACTTCCCACCTGTAGAAAGAACACTTTAGTCGCCAAAGGATGTCATGTTTTTAGTGACTAAAATATTTAGTCGGCAAGTAAACTTCCCTCATTCTGATTTGTTTTAGCTACTATGTGGTTCGGTCACAAAAAGCCATTTGATTATTTTTGTTACTAAATTATTGGTCGGCAAAACATTTGTTTACATTTTTGGCTACCAACATATTTAGTCACCAAATCCTATATTAATTTTTTTTTTTTAATTTCTGAACCACCTGTATCCATTATTATTGCAACCTGTACCAAGTGTAAACAATATAATCCATCAATACTGAATATATTATCAACCATTCAACAACGTGCACACATTTCACTTCCAACCATCCAAAATATTTATATTCAACGTCCAATTCTAAATGTAATACAAATTCCATATGAACCAAGTATAATTCAACCCCAATAATTTAATTCCATACATAATAGAGGATTAACCAAATTTAATATTCAAAAGGAAATCTATACCACACCAAATTCATCAAAATTTCAAATTCAAACTCATCAAGTTTCGCATCAAATTCATCAAGCGTTCGCCACTTCTTGAATATGTTGAGACTGGCTTTTACCAGGTGGAATAAAAATCAGATCTTCCCAACCGGAGTTCTTCTCACTCATCTGGCATCAAACAAGGAAAGTAATAACATGTTGGCAATAACTTGTTCGTATGAGGCAAAAAGAATGACCAACTCCACAAATCCAGCATTCAGATCCTCTTACCTCCATTTTTTTAAGAACATCTTCCAAACTTCCCACCAGTAGAAAGAAATAAAAACAATGGCTATGCTAACCTTATAGCACATGAGTTACAAATTAACTTCACATTTTAGTTAAAATAAGGAGAGAGAAACAATTTATAAAATTAAATGTCTCAGAGAAAAAGCCATGATTCAAAGCATGAAAACTGAGCTAAAATTTATTCTAGGTCAAATTAAGAAATATTCTCTAGATTTCTTCAAATCTTCTGGAACATACTTCTGCAACTCTGTTATACTGTGAAGTATGAATTGAAAATAACAAAGTCCAACTCGGATATGATGCATATGAATATCTCATAGAAGGGTGATAAATTGATGTTGCTGAGTGCAAGCACTTCTGAATGTTGCTAAGGTACATAATGAGTAAAAAATAATCAAACGATAAAATAGATATAAGAAGAATATGGTCCAACCCAAGTAAACTCAAATCTCCAAACTTTTAAGAATTGTAAAATGTACTATAAAATTATAAAATTATGGTCCAACCCAAGAAACAATTTATAAAATTAAATCAAAGGAATTTCTCTACTTCATCGACTTTGCTTTAACTATATTAGCAATGTTCATAAATGGTCAATTCATGATAACAATGGCCACTTTAGCTGTTACCTAGGCATAATTTTCCACAATGTGATTCAATAATACCACATCATCCTTGTTCATCTTGTACCTCTATTCTCCTCTTCTTCAATGTGATTAACACTAACTTGGCTCAAAGATTAGTTGTTTAACACATTTGAATAACTTGGCTCAAATTCTTAGGCTGTTACATCATTCCCCTGCACATTTTTCATTTACCTAATGTGTGTGCTTGTGCTTTTTTGTTTGTAATTTAATAGTTATAATGTTATCATGTTATCATTTTAATTCTTCTATTTTATTTATTTATTTTTCTGTTTAAAAGTCATCACATATGCATCCCTTTTTTCTGAATTATTAGGCTCCAGTTTTGGTTGTGACTTTTGATCACAAGTTCTTAGTTTTATTATCATTTAAAAATTAAACTTTGTCCCATGAATCATTAGACTTTTGATCACTAGTACCATTAGACTTTGTCCTATGAGGTGGGTACATTCTCTGCATTCATATTCAAGATAAATATGCTCATCTACTTTGAGATTGTAAGAGAAACAATAGAAAACACAACACTTTTAGCCTCACACTCCACTTGCGAGAGGCAAAGCACAAACAAAGGAGTGTGGTAAGCTTAAAGTGCAATATAAATATCGTTGCCATAGAAAAATGTTACATATAACTGATTAGAGCATGCATCATCAAGTCAAAAGAGAGAATATTCATCAATCATGTGAAGCATAAAAAAACATACGTATGCACATCTTTGCAAGACCATAGGATAATTTATAACATTATATCAATGAAAACATACTTATGAGATCAGAAGTTCCATAACCATACAATCTCTAGTAAGTTCCATAACATTACTAATACTAGGAGTTCCATAACCAATGCTTTCCAACCTCAATACTTATGAGATCAAACTCAAAATGCAAAAATCATTATGTCAATGAAAACACTAATATCTAGGTTCCATGCAGAATACTGAGTAGCACGATTCAGACATCACAACCAGCTCAAAGATTAAAATGGCATTAATTTTCTAGAAATTAAAGCAGATCCTTCAAAAGATGCCTCCTACTGCAAGAAAGCTCTACACATTGCAATATAGTACACCTAATGTTCTGATTTCCACATTATTGGCAATCATCTTGCCCTTTTATTATTATTGAAATAAGTTAAAAAAATTATGTTACCTCGTCTATGTTCTCAAACTTCCTTTTTGGCTCTGGAGGTTGACCACCATAGCTTTGAGTTGGACGTAGGGTTACATAGATTACCCTTTTAGAACTCATGCAACCCATGGCCTATATAATTCACAAAGGTTCTGCAGCATCCAACAAAAATTATGCACAATCACAAAATGACATAGCATATAATACAAGAGCAATTATGAAATAAACCCCTTGGATTCTCTTTCCAGTAACAGGACATTTGGGTCCACTGGCCCTCTTCTTTGGTGCTCTGATACACCAACCTCCCTCCTAAATTCACACAAATTTAGCTCAAATGAAAAAATTTAACTATCATTTCCACAATTCCCATAGCAAACTTGTAACTTATTTTACACATTATAGCTAAATCTTGTATCGAATTTGGCACAAAACTTAGTAATTCTAAAATACAACACAATGTTTATCTAGTCTTTCGAGAGTTCCAATTTGGCCTTGATCTTAAATTTTGACAATAACATTCATTGGAGAAGCAATAATTTTTCTAGTGTATAGGATTTGTTAAGTGAATATTAAAATAATAATATATATGACGATATTATCATTTAATGAAAAAGGTATATGATTAAATTAATAGAAAATAAGAGACATCTAATTTTATTTGTATGTTTTCATGAAGGCATTACATAATAGTACTCAGTATTTTGTTCCATCTGTAAGTCCGTGAATTTCCAAAGTCAATAAACTCCTCTCGTTTGTTAATTCATATTTTTAGTGATTTTTTAATTTTGTATAAAGTGAAAAAAAGTTAATGTGTCTGAAAATAAATTTTTTAATTATATTAAAATTTATAAATTATTGAGATATTTGATTTTTTAATAAATTTTTAATTTTTAATTTTAATAGTTTAATTAAAAAATTAAATTATCAAACGAAACCTACCTATTAGCACTAAACTAGGTGAATGGACATGGACTCAAGACTATTTAACTTTATCAAACAACTTTTAAAATAACAATAATAAAAAAAAATAAATAAGCACTAACAGGGACATTGAAATAGAAACTAAAAAAAATCAATTGGAAGTTTGGAACACCTTTTAAAAGATAGAATCATTGGTCGTTCCAAGAAGATTTTTACGATTCGATGGAACTCATAATAGTAAAATCACTACGAACTTCATTAAGGCCCATTTGGGTGTCTCAAAAAAATGAATTGGGCCATTTTACTTTTAGCTCATTTACAAATTAGACAATTTAATTTATTTAATTCTCTTTAATGTGTGAAATGTGAGAGGCTGAGTATATTTTTGTGTGGGCAAAAATTCATCATGATGATGGATTGATGATGATAGCAAGCAAAGTCAATAGAACACTTTCGTCGTGGTTAATGTATTACCTGATTGGAAGCATTCCAATGTCCAAGTTAGAAAAACTTAGAGAGAATAAAAATAAAATAAAAAAGAGTTTACAAAAATAATATAATTTTTATTCACTGAATGTCCTCCAAACATTTCTCTTATTATTAGGATTTGACTATTTTTAATAACTCTTTTCTTTCTAACTCTACTCTTTAATTTGCTTAGATTATTTCTAACATATATTCCTACAACCTTAAACTAACTAAGATCACTATTATCCTAACTAAATTGGCATTAAGCGTGACTCTTTTCTTCAATTTCACACTTGATATATGAGAATTGTCTAATAGTGACGTTTCACCTCAATCGACATTTATAATTATCTATAAAGGAACATGATGATTTAACATTTATTTTATTTTCAAAAATTTAAAAGTATCAACTTTTAAATTGAATTATTTTGTACAAAACTAAAAAAAAAAAATTGGGGGGTTTATGGTTTGGGGGTATTTGCAGGGGAGAGCAGGGGGTCCCTCCCTATACTAAGAATGATTTAACAACTTAGGCCTCATTAAGTATGTTGAGGAGTAAAATTTATAAATTATTTAGATATTTGATTTTTTAATAAATTTTTAATTTTTAATTTAAATATTTTAATTAAAAAAATAAATTATCAAACGAGACCTACCTATTAGCACTAAACTAGGTGAATGGACATGGACTCAAGACTATTTAACTTTATCAAACAACTTTTAAAATAACAATAATAAAAAATAAATAAATAAGCACTAACAGAGACATTGAAATAGAAACTAAAAAAAATCAATTGGAAGTTTGGAACTCCTTTTAGAAGATAGAATCATTGGTCGTTCCAAGAAGATTTTTACGATTCGATGGAACTCAGAATAGTAAAATCACTACGAACTTCATTAAGGCCCATTTGGGTGTCTCAAAAAAATGAATTGGGCCATTTTACTTTTAGCTCATTTACAAATTAGACAGTTTAATTTATTTAATTCTCTTTAATGTGTGAAATGGTGAGAGGCTGAGTATATTTTTGTGTGGGCAAAAATTCATCATGATGATGGATTGATGATGATAGCAAGCAAAGTCAATAGAACACTTTCGTCGTGGTTAATGTATTACCTGATTGGAAACATTCCAATGTCCAAGTTAGAAAAACTTAGAGAGAATAAAAATAAAATAAAAAAGAGTTTACAAAAATAATATAATTTTTATTCACTGAATGTCCTCCAAATATTTCTCTTATTATTAGGATTTGACTATTTTTAATAACTCTTTTCTTTCTAACTCTACTCTTTAATTTGCTTAGATTATTTCTAACATATATTCCAACAACCTTAAACTAACTAAGATCACTATTATCCTAACTAAATTGGCATTAAACGTGACTCTGTTCTTCAATTTCACACTTGATATATGAGAATTGTCTAATAGTGACGTTTCACCTCAATCGACTAGGCCCAATTAAATATTTTCTTTTGCAATTATTTCAATTGCCCTTAGTCTTTGCTCTCTCTCTCTCTCTCAAATCAAAGAGGGTGAGGGCTACTATTGCACAACTTGTGGCGGTGGATTTATTTCATTGAGAAATTTTCATTCCAAGTGGCTTCCATAGCTCGTTTGCTCAGATATTTTTTTTTTCACCAAATAAAACTTATAAAATGTTATTTTTGGACTTTCTACTTAGTTTTTTCTTTGTGTATATCATCTTTTTAATTTTATTGAGATTTCATGTAAAATTTTAAGAATAATTATTGATTTTTGAATGATACTAAAACAGGACTAATAGCCGTTGGACATTTACCATTGCTTTGGAATATGTATAAATCTAAGGTGCAAAACAGGGGAAAAAAAACGAGCCTTCTATAACAAAGCAATTCCTATATATATAGATATATATATATAGAGAGAGAGAGAGAGAAGCATACGCGAGACGGAGCATCAATGGAGCAGAGTTCATCTCAGCGATGAAGCCTCTGGATCTCGTGGCAGTGGTGGTGGATCTATGAAGATCGGCGGAGGAGGAGGCGGCGTGAAAAGAGCGACCATGATAGCCCCGCAGCCCGGGGTACCTTTAATGTTATACCTAACCTCAACCCCCAAGTCCATAGGGGCATTATTGGTCCAAGATGTAGACGGAGCAGAACGCCCGGTGTATTACATCATCCAGAAGATTCGAGGAACAGAAGTCCGAAATACTCTGATAGAGAGACATTGCCTAGCTTTGGTATTCACCGCCCAAAAGCTCAGACATTACTTCTTAGCACATCAAATTCATATTGTTACTAGGAGTGATCCAATCCGATACCTCATCAGCAGGCCTGCTATAACCGGGAAGGTGGCAAGATGGTTGTTAGCACTGGGTGAATTCGAGATCACATGTGTAGCCCCCAAGGCGATTAAAAGCCAAGCCTTAGCTGACCTCCTTGCTCAAATTCCAAGTGGTGACTATGAACCAGTGAATGAAGAAGTAAGAGGAGAGGTCCATGCAGCTATGGCTTCCGAGGAAAGCTTTTGGACATTGAGCTTTGACGGAGCAGCAGCCGGAGGGAAGGGAGGAACCGGGATAGTCCTTACAAGCAAAAGTGGGGAAAAGTTATATTTGTCTTATAAACTGGATTTCCATTGTTTGAATAACGAAGCCGAGTATGAGGCTCTTATGTTAGGCTTGATAGCAGCTGAGAAGCACAGTATCAAGAAGATTCGAATTCGGGGGGACTCGAAGTTGATAGTGAAGCAAGCTTCAGGACAGTTTGTCTTAAAGGAGCCTGCCTTGGCCACATACCAAACAACAGTCCGAAGGCTTCTTGACAAATTTCAGAAGGTCGAAATAGAGCATATGCCTCGTTCCGACAACAAGTTTTCAGATGCCCTCGCTACATTAGGGGCAGGAGTTGATATCCCAGAGGAGGAGGCGACAATTATTATCAAGAAGAGAATAGAGCCTTCGATAATACCTGAAGACAAAGGCCTTCCGGAGAACTGGAGAGGAGAAGTCCTCGAACAACTCAGAAGCAAAGTTGGAAAATTGACTATGGCTAAGCTTGCCCAATTCATAATTATTCAAGGTGAACTTTACTTCCGAGGAGGTACCGGATTCCTAGTCCGGTGTGTTGGCCAACAAGAAGCAAGTTTCCGACTACAACAGATTCATGAAAAATCCTGCGGGGATGGGGATATCAGTCTGTACAGAGAGATCCAAAGGCATGGCTATGATGGTGTATGACGGCCACAACCCGAGCAGCTGGTGAAAGCTTCCCAAATGATCTTGCAACTCTAGGGGCAAATGTTAACATTCCGTAAAAGAAGTCTACCTATGACATTTACAGTTTGCATTTACTGCATTGTCCATACAAGAAGTAAGTTTCCGACTACAACAGACCCATGAAAAGTCTTGCGGGGATGATGATATCAGTCTGTACAAAAAGATCCAAAGACATGGCTATGAGGGTGTATGATGGCCACAACCCGAGCAGCTGGTGAAAGCTTGCCAAATGATCTTGCAACTCTAGGGGCAAATTTCAACATTCCGTGGAAGAAGTCTATCTATGACATTTACAGTTTGCATTTACTACATTGTCCAAGAAGTTCTATCTTTCTTATGTTGTGAAGAAATTTACTTCCTCCATATTATGTATCTCCATTAAAAGTTATTTTCTCTACATTGTATATCTTCATTGTGTTATGTTGCTTGAAACAGTTTTCAATTTTTTGTTGCCCCTCAAAGAAGAAAAAGGAACAGTAGACTCAGTTACCAACCTGAAGGGAGTTTTCTTGACACAGTAGAAGTATACTTCCACTCGGACCTCCGAAGAGCAGCCATGGCTTCCATCAATGCAAGTTTTGAGGGTCTTTCTTGCTGAAGTAGAGTGTGTGCTCCCACTCGGACTTCCGAAGAATAGCCCTTGCTTCCATCAATACGAGCTCCGAGGATCTTTCTTTTCAAAGTAGAGTGGACTCTTACTCGAACTCCCGAGGGATATCCTTTGCTTCCATTAGCTGCCGAAGTAGAAGTGCGCATCCACTCGGACTTTCGAGAGACAGCCTTGTTTCTGCTCGGACTTCTGAGGGAGAGCCTTCCAAGGGACAACTCTTGCTCTCATTAGTGCGGGTCCGAAGAACAGCCCTCGATTTCATCAATACGAGCTCCGAGGGTCTTTCTTTTCAAAGTAGAGTGGACTCTTACTCGAACTCCCAAGGGATGGCCTTTGCTTCCATTAGCTGCCGAAGTAGAAGTGCACATCCACTCGGACTCCCGAGGGACAGCCTCATTTCTGCTCAGACTTCTAAAGGACAGTCTTGCTTCTGTTCGGACTTCCGAGGAACAGCCCTTACTCTCATTAGTGTGGGTTCCAAGGGCCCCGAGGACGTGGATTTCAATCAAGAATTTATTTATCTGAAGTAGTAAAGCCAACAAACGAGACAAACAATATCAATTTCAGATCATGATTCAGGCATTATCAGAATGGAGCAACATCAACAAATAATAATGATCTATTTAAGTTACAACAATTCTATTCCTCCAGGCGAGTTCATGAAAAATGCAACAATAATAATCAATGTTTCGTCTCTTCCTCTCAACACAAAATTTTGGCATCAGCTATGTATTTCCCAAGCATCCACAAGATCAACAAAACAACAATCAATCATTCGATAACAAAATTTATATTCAACATTACGAGTTTCATTACTGAAATCATTCCATCGAGTATCAACAACAACAACAAATATTTGTTTGTTCTACTACTTTCAATACTATCAAACATGGAGTGATAAATATATTTATATATTCAACAAGAGGAAGAGGGAACCGAATTTCATACTCACAAATTTGGGACTGTTAGAGGGGTGAAATCCGAAGCCGATGTTGAAAATTCAAGTTGAAATCAGAAAGGTTTTACAGACTGTAATCAACAGGACTGAGCTAGGCTGGGCAAGACCACGCACGTTGCATTGAGTGGGCGAACGTGCGTGGTCGGCGTTGGACAGTTAATGACGAAGGCAGTGTTGAAGACGTAGCGGAGTCGGCGTCGATCAAGATCAACAAGACTGGGCTAGGCTTGGCAAGACCACACACGTTGCGTTGAGTGGGCGAACGTGCGTGGTCGGTGTCAGATAAGTTGAAGCCGGAAGCAACGCTGGTACCACAGAAGAGTCAGCAACCACACACGTTGCGTTGAGAGGGCGAACATGTGTGGTTTGCATTGGACCGTCGAAGCCGGAGGAAGAGTTTCAGCAAAGAGAGGCCGATGGTAGGCTGGTTCGGTCTTGGCGCAAGGCATCAAGCGTGACATCATTCCTATCACATCTCCACCCTTGACATCAATATTTCAATGCAAGCATCAAATATTCTATTTAAGTTAGATTTGTCAACATGAGTTCAAGATTTGGTAACAGTGGTTCAAACACATAAGTGAGCAGTAAAATTTCATCATTCTCGGATTTAACGAGTCTCAGCAGTATAGTTCAAATCCCAATTGAGGATTCAAAATGTATTTTATCAAGCATTATCAACAGATATTTATGTTCAAACTCGGTGATTCAGCTACCTCTGTAAAACAAAGATTGCAAAATTCCAAATATGTATTTCACAAATCCAAGCTCATGAGCATAAAGATCCAAAAATATAAGAAGAATAAGAAGAGGGTTTTGACAAAAAAAAGTTTACAGATTTGAAACAGTTTTGAAGAAATAAAAAAATGGGCGGGAGCAAGCACTATGGAAGCAAGAAATAGACCGAAGCATGCACCAAAATGGACCAAGACAGTCAGAACGGGTCAGCAGCGGCACGTGTAGCTTGCACGAACAGTGGGCGAGAAAGTATATCGACAGACCGACACCGCGTTGAGTAGGCGGCGTGGTCGTCACTGATCAGCTACGGTCGATGAATGAAACACCGGTGCAAGAGCTGGGCGTGAGACGAACAAACCACGTGAGTTGAAGTGGTCGCGCGCAGGACAACGCCGTGGTTGGTTCTTGCTTAGGCTAACGGTAGCGCCCAGAGTTACACCAACGGGCAGAGTTGGCGACGGTATGTAGGCTCGGCCGGAATGAGCAAGCGGCAATGGCCATCTAGCACGGCAGCTACGGAGCTTCTTTGAAGAAGATGAAGTTTGGGTTAGTCTCAGTTTGGAGAGAAATTGTGCCGAAATGGGTCCTTGGAGTTTAATCTCCTGCAAATAAATTTAAAAAAAAATCGTTAGTGAGATTGTGCCACTGGGTTGCCGAAGACTAAAAAAAGAAGAAGAAAGTTGGGTCTCTCTTTGTTAAAGAAAGAGAGCACGACAGTGGCGTCTAATATTATAGAAGCAAAGCTTTTCTTGAAAATGAAGAAGCTTGGTCTCTGTTTTAGAGAGAGAGGGACGGCTGAGAAAGGAAATGTATTGTTTAGGGAGCTTGGCGGCTGGAGGCAAAAAGGAAAGGAAATGTATTGTTTAGGGTTCTTGTCATTATCTTTACAAATAGGCAAAAAGAAAAGCATATTCTCTTAAATATACCTTCAAATATTCCATACATACATACATACATACATATATATATATATATATAAGAGTTTGCCGTTTGTTCTTTTTTTTAAATTAAAAACTCAAAAGTGCATCAGCCTTGCCTTTTTATAATACAGTACAAAGTGTGAGTGTGGGTGTTTATTTTTTATTTTCTTGGATAAGAAAATAGATCTTTAGTTATTTTTAGAAGAAAAAGAAGAATGACTCATGTTTTACTGATTCATGGAATTGAAGAATTCAGGTTTTGTTTTTTTTTTTCCTTTTTTTCTTTAAAAAAAAAAAAAGTCAAAAAAAAAAAAGTTCAAAAAAAAAAAAAAAAGAGATGTTTTATTTTTTTTTCATTTATTTAATACTACTTGTTGATTTTATCCGTAATTTACAGTGGTCTCAGTTTTTATCCATAGATTTTATCAAGGCAAAATATTCTTGAAGACATAATGTGAAGCATGGCTGATAAGGTGAAATTATGCATGTCCGAGAAAATTACAATTTCTCATACACGCAGGGGCAAATGTAAGAGGAGCTAATTAAGCCACTA